TTCTAGTAAGTTTTGAGTATGAGGATCCCAGCTGTCACAGGCGTACTCATGTATCAAATATAGATGAGTGAAATACACCTTTTCTTTCAAGTTAATAGGTAATTGTCCAAAATTTCGATGGAGGAAACCTAATTTGCGTGCTGTCTTTCTTCTTATTTCCTGTACAGCCACGGCCACGTCTGTGTAGAACATGCGAACAGCCGGTTTTTCCTCTGCGGGGCGAAACCTTGGGGCAGTATCAGGCTATGACGTGGTCAGCCTGGCAACTAGGCCGCGAATGCTCCCGATACACCACTTCAGAGCCCGAAACTGCCTCAAGGTTTCAGCCCGCAGAGCTAAAACCAGCTGCTTGAGCGCTCTACACAGACGTGGCCGAGGCTGTACATGCCTATTCCACCTTCAATTCGAAGTAATAACAACACCTAAGTATTTATATTCCATAGCCCTGCGTAACGTAACATTATTTAATTTGTACTCATATGCCCCATGTGAGCGTTTCTCCTTGTAAAGATAATGATTGAACATTTCAAAACATTTAGAGACATCTCCCATTTCGTTCACCACGCTAAAATTTCATCTAAATCACTCTGAGGGTCATAGAAATCAGAATCACAATCAGTAACTCGATATACCGCACAGTCGACTGCAAACATCCTGAAAGAGGACGTGATTCCACTAGTGATGTCATTTATGTGCAACAAAAATAATAAAGGCCCCAAGACAGAGCCTTGGGGCCCACCAGAGGTAACCGCGGCGACTTCAGAGGAAATGCCACTGAGAACCACAGACTTGTTTTTGCGACAAGATGTGCTGGAAAGCATTACGAAAAAGCTGTTCTGAATGAATCTTCAAGAATAAAGTATTAGAGGAAAACAGTGAATGCGTTCCCACCGTTCACGAGTTCTTCTGTGGACGCAAAGCATGGAAAATTAGATCGCGATGTCCAGAAGTAGACGTGAGAAACGTTCTGACGTCACGCATGAAGTTATTAATAAACATCACTTCAATCACGTGCCGTGCAACTATCCAAACGAGCTATCAGCGGCGTTCCTGCATCCGCCGATGAATCGCCGCCGCAGTGTCACACTACCTATAGGACTAGAAGTCACGAGCCCCAGCGAAAAGCGCGTTTCGCCATTAAGCGGACTTGCGCAACAAAAGTTGTGCCGGAACCAAACATAGCATCGTGGATTATTAAGGACGCACGTGTGACTGCTGTTTATTCAGCGGAATGACTCTAGGTATGTGATTGTGAATTTGGTGGCCCTGAGAAAAAGGTGCACACGTTTTGATGCGCCGGCGTGGATGTTGCCCGTGATAGACGCTTCCAAATCTGACTTTGGCGCAGTTTCGCAAAATTGGACAGCGCAGTAAATTTATTTGGCACACTTTGGCGCAATTGATGCAGGAGTGGGATCACTGATAAAAGGCAAAATACATCATGGTTTGTTTCTCAACTTCACCTCCTTCACAAGCGATACTATATTCTCCTCACTGCTTACTTCTTCAAAAACCCCTGAACGCTACATTATCTTTGATCATTGTAGGGCACTCCTTTGCTACAGGCTGTTGCAGCGACAAGTGCAAAGCAAAAACACACTAGACAAAATGAAATTCATTCACTCCAAACAACAGCCAAGAAAGACGGCAACAAAAACAGTCATGAAGATGAATAGCAAAGCACTGTAGCTGACAAATCAGTACTGATATTTACCATACACCAATAAACAGCTTGTGTCCTGGAGATGCCACAACATGTGAAAAGGAAAAAAAAAAACTAAGAAAACAGGTCAAGCCCAGAAAAAGAAGATTAAACTACTGAAGATATTTCAAGGCATTTTCATATCTAGAAATTCACAGAGGTTTACTTTGAGCTATTGAAATTTCTCTACTCCAAGTAGTGAAAAAAATATGTGCCCCCCCCCCCCCCCCGTTATTATTTTCCCAGCTTCTGCCTGACCTAAACACAATCTGCATCTTAGCAAGTGTAGTGGTGCCACCTGGTGTTGAATACCATAGTTAGCAGTGCTCCGACATCTCATGACTGGGAATGAGCAAAGCAGCACAACTTCGCGTTCAGTAGGAGCAACGAGAAGGAAGTCATGAGGATGCAACCCGGGCAGCATATGATTACCAATAAATACACTATAAGGGGACACTCATTAAAGTTTCAGCTTCAGTACTAACATACGGGGTTAAATTTGGAAGGTAACAAAAAGACCAGAGAATAAGCTGAGGACTCTGTAGCATGCAGTGGAGAATGACCGGATGGAAATATAAAATGGAATCAGCTTGCGCAACGTGGGACAAACTGGAGATTCTTTGGAGAAACGTTCATCCTGCTGTAGACTCAGAATTTGTTGAGATGATGATGAAAATGATTTATGACCAGAAATATTTGAATACCACAAGGATACCACATTTTTTCTTAAATGGTTTTCAGGGAACAGTCATGTACCGATGTAAAGATCCCTGTTCCTTATATTATCTCACAGACGAAAACGAATATGTACAGGGCACTAAGGAATTAACGTGTACAGGAATTGTCTGCGTGCATATACCTTCTTATAATTGACAGTTTGAATTAGCAGTGATGTAAGTGCCGTTTTACTTTATGGAACATACTTGGTAGCAGAAAAAGTACTGCTTTCGAGCAGCCATAAACATTTTCGGAGCAGAAAAAAATTCTAGTTTAGGAGCAGCTATTGGTGTTTTAGGAACAGATGTTAAATTTGCCATACAATAATTAGAGTTCAGAGCATTGTCAAAGCATCTCATAAATATTATTATTTTTTATGAGATGTATGTAACAGACAATCATCAATGTAAATATCATGTAGCAAACAAAGGCAGGTTGTCATAAATGTGCTGTGAAGAGAACTACAATTTAAAGTTCCAGTATTTGTGGCAGAAATTAAATCAAACCGAAAAAGGTCAGCGCCAAATTTTAGAAGTAACCACAGTTCCATATAACTGTTGCCTAATAAGCAGTAGATAATCAGTGTGAGATAAAAGCAATCCCGCTCATTTTCGCATTTCACCACACTAGCATGCATGTCTAGCCGAGAAAAAAAAAAACAGCCAACTGAGGTATATGCTCAATATTCCAGTTCTTGTCAAATAAATGTGATCAGAGCCGATAATGATGCACACTAGTAGCACACTGGAATCATAGTACACAAATTATTCTCAGTTTGCAAGTCGGTGAAACAGCAAAAATTCGTTGTTCTCATTCTTTCAGAGTCATTTTGGAGCAGGTCTGAAGCAATTACTAACAAAAGTTACTGTCTGGAGTCGCATGGAGCAGCAATTATCTTTTAGAGCAGTTTGGAGCAGCACTTCCATCACTGAATTAGTAGCACATGCATAAAACCCAGAATTAAAGAAGTCAAGGTCATCCAACTGTTCATAATTTGTCAGGGTAACTGATAACTGAAAATATAAAGTGTCATAATATATGCCTATACACTTAGAGAAAACTGGGCTCTCAACATGCATGAAGTAAAATTTAAGTTTGAGATTGCCGTCTTGGCCCCAACCGGTAGCGAGCCATTTTGGATCAACTTGTAGGATGTGAAGAAGCATATGTCTATCGTTATGTCACTCGGTCGAAAACATTTTGAAACCACATACGCATCATGGCAATTTCCTTACTGCTGCTCTGCTCTTACTCAAACTTAAGAGAAAGCTCACATTTTATTGTTGCTGTAATTAAATCTAACACTACAGATTATTAAAAAAGTTGAAACTTACATGCACAAAAAAAAAAGCAGCTGCAAAGATGGCACTTACAAAGATTGCCTCATTGCTTACCATCAGCTACACTGAACAAGTGCTCAGAATGGACTGTTGCATAGGCAAAGTGGTTCATTTATTTTGTCTGCTTTCTCTCACAATCTTTAATGTGATTTCACTTTTCTTAATTTAACAAAATCCAATGCAATATGTTTCTCTTTCGGTCAGACAACTGAGGCAGCGTTTTCAGATCAACAGCTCTGCCAATACAGAATGGTTGTGTGCCTTTTTTTGTACAGGTTCACATACTCTGACATGAATGGAGCTAGCAGTCATAAACTAAGGCACGGAAAGCTCTGCGCTTGGTTCCACTAACATATTTGCTACAATACTAAATTTTAAATTCATTACAATATGGTGTGCACTCATGCAGCTGCTCAGCAGGTACTCTCACGTTTGTGCACGCAATGTTTAGTGCCAGCAGTGTATGCAAGAACACCATCTTGGCTAAAGTGGCACCGACTGGGAAAAGGCAGAAAGGTGCAACCACTCGGCTTCATTGCTCTTAAGAACAAATGCACTTCCAGTCTCTGGAGGCCTTTCTAACCTCCCACATGAAGATTGTGCAAGAACTGTCAAATGAACCTCGCAAACTCATATAATTGCAAAAATAGTAGAGCTACGGTATGTCATTTCTCATGCAAGCAAACTCAAGAGATGGAAGGTTCAGTCACTCTTGTATTGGTAAAAAACATCCAATATGGTTATCATACTTGTAAAATGAGTGTATGCATGTTGACCACATAAAAGTGCTATGTACCTAACAGCATGCATTTGATGATCAGATGTTCTAACAATATAATAATAATAATAATAATAATAATAATAATAATAATAATAATTGCAGGGTGTAACGTCTCAACCACCATATGATTATAAGAGAGCCTTGGTGGAGGGCTCCAGATATTTCGACCACCTAGGGTTCTTTAACGTGTACCTAAATCTAAGCCATTTTCGCCTTGTCTGAAAATAGAGCTGCGCTGCCGAGATTCAATCCCGCGACCTGCGCGTCAGCAGCAGAGTGCCTTAGCCACTAGAACACCGTGGCGGGTGATCAGACATTCTCCCTCCAAGTCTCCACTCCTCCAAAAATTGACTGTACTGAGGGTACAGACTATACAACAGTGACAGAAGCCTCAAGCTGTTTCACAGATCCCACATTAGTGGGTAAAAAAGAAATAAACTCCACGAAAAAACAAAGTTACCTAGGAGAGTTGGTGCTGTACTTGCTGTCCGCTACAGATTGCGACACACTACCTTGCCGCCTTTTTCTATGCGATTTCTTCTTGCTCGACTTTCGAGAAGACGAATGACTTGGAGATGAAGATGGTGGATGGGTTACCTTGAAAACGAATAAATGCAAATCAGGTGACATTTAGGAGTACATGTAGAAGATTTTACACAGGCCACAATATGGCAAATAATAATAATAATAATAATAATAATAATAATAATAATAATAATAATAATAATAATAATAATAATAATAATAATAATAACTTACTGGCAACTGGGTACGTTCGCATTGAAATAAGAGTAACTGTACATCTTTACTGACGGAGTAACGTACGTGAACTTCAAACGTGAAGTAAGCGTTCTACATCTTATGCAGTACATTATCTAGAAAGAGCAAAAGGGAGAAGCACCGCATATAGAGCTATGTACTCAAGCCACTAAAACGGCGGTGCAGCGCACGGCCCACATTAGACAGCTTGGTTACTAGGTTATTCTAGTAACTTGTAGCAATCAGACGCGGTTGTGGTGCGGCTGGGCAAGACAGAAAATGCCTGAGCATCGCAGAGATCACTATAGCACCTGCGTGTGGTGAGACAGAGGATGAAGGAGCTGATGTGTTTCTTCGAAATTCTGGAAGTCGTTGCCGCCACCACCGGCACTCGATGTCGTTTGTGGTGTCATCTCGGCAGCATCGTCCATAATCTGCATCGTACAAATGGGAACTACTGAAACTTGTCACACCTCAGGGGTTCTCAGTGGCTTTAACGGTCATATGTTAATACTAACCGTGTTTGTTACCTCGAAGAAATAAGATGCAATTCGCACGTTTGTAATCCTATGGTTCCAGTCCGTGGTTACATCGACATGACACGCTTACTCGAGTATTATCCAATTAAAAGCGTGTGACATCGCTATTTTTCGTGGGCCATAGCACACGGCAGAGCGGAGACTAACATAGGCGGATCAACGGACATGACAGAATCCACAGCCTTTGCTGTAGTGTTCTTTGAGTGTTATCTACGATGATGTGGGAGATAAGAAACCCACGCCCTCTAACTTAATCATACACATCTAAGCACCTACCTTGTATTTGATTACCAACACTGATATTCCAGCGATTTTTACTCTATTTCGGTTGCAGTAAGGCAGGCATGAGTCGTAAGCACTAGCACGGCGCGAGTCTGGCTACGCGGCCATGCCACAGAACACCTACCAGTTTGGCCATGCGGTGACAAAACCGAAACCATAACAAAGTACTCAGGCCATTCTTACTTTTTGTGTCAAATCCTGATAACGATTTCTTAATAAATTGTAAATTTACAGTTGTGATGACAAAAAGTGGCTTTAAAAAACATACAAAAAGCTTTGCAAAAATTATACTCCATTGTACTAGGTCGCGACTTCTTGGGACTGAGAGTTCCATCCCGTGATTTGTTGCGTCAACGCCTCCTCTAGAAAGATGCCTGAGGAATGGCTCGCGCCACGGAGGAACGTGGCTCGCGCTCCCAGCGGAGTTGGCCTGCCGTCAGTTTTAAACAAACGCCGTGCGATGGCACTTGCGACCAACACTACGTTGGTCGCAAGTGCCACGGCTAGGTGGCGTTAGCCGCCGCCCGATATAAAGGGTACAGCCACATCCATCCATCCATCCATCCAACGTCATGGTTCCTGATCTGACGTTCGGCAATGCAGTCTTGTGCATGAGATCAGAAGTTCAAGCAAGATTAGAAATTAAGCAACGTGGAATAGGTAGGCTTGCCTTAGGAGCTCACGGGAATACACCAAATCAGGGAGTACAAGGTGATATATGATGGACATCATTTAAGGGCAGGGAAGCTAGCAGCAAGATAAAATTTGAGAAGCGATTGAGAGAAATGGGGGGAGGAGCGTTGGACTTGGAATGTATTCAGCTACTTGTACATGAAAAATGTCGATACAAAATGGAGGAAGCGAATCATAAAATTGACTGGTAAATACTTAGAAAATAGCAGGTGAACGAACTAAAAAGAATTATCGGTTAAGAAGAAGCAAAGGAAGCTGGGACCGCTATGTGGACAATTGGCATGATTAAGAAGTCCGCACTGGAGATCTATCGAACTTTTAAGCAGGAAATTACCAAGGAAAGGATCTATCATAATACTCGGGGTAGTTCTCTACTGTTTGAGGCCAGGACGGGAGTGTTGCGAACCAAAACATATCGGGCCAAATACGAAGGGGTAGACACGGTATGCAGGTTGTAAAGAGAGAAAGAGGAAACTACCGAACACTTAATATTGTTCGGTAAAGGGCTTCACCCTATAGTTCAGGATGATGGCACAGAGATTTTCAAAGCACTGGGGTTTTTCGAAGCACTGGGAAAATAGACTTTAGGCGGGTAGAATTAACTAGAAGTAGGTTATCTGATTGGGGGGTAAAGTCAAGGCACGAGTGAAAATTAGAACCTTCACTGCAAAGTACGAATCCTCAATCTCACTATTTAAAGGTAAAAAATAAATTTAGTTTTTGGTTCGTTAAAGTATTACGGCTTGGTGACGCTATCCACCGCCCAATCCAAAGGGTACAACCACATCTATCCGTCTACCCAGGTGGGTTGGTAACTTGCAGGACGCGCAGAAGCTTTTTTTTTGGGGGGGGGGGGGGGGGGGCAAGCGAGCTCTTCGGGGTGCAGCCTGCAGGATAGCTAGTAACGAGGAAAACAACCAGGGAGACTCTTTGACAGGTGGTATGGACAGATGCGATTCCAAAGTGACACCAGTATCTAAGATAGGTAGAATCCGGGGCAGAAATAGAAGTAGCCACGAGCACCGAGCCAATTCAGACATAGGGTATATTAACATGCAGGGTGGTAGGAACGGGCTGAAGTGGGAAGAGATAGAAGAACAGCTAAGGGAGGAGAGGCCGATAGTATACGGTTTTGTAGAAACACATCTCAGGGACATGGAACAACCTCCTAACAATGCGGACTACGCGTGGGAATATATTGTAATAGAACAGAAGGCAGCAGAAATGGGGGTGGTATTGGGGCATTCATTCATAAAAGTACAGCCTGGCAAAGGGTCGAGCAAGAGTGCAAGGAACATTTATGACTAAAAGGGAAAGTGGCAGGGCAATGGAAAACCAGGCAATGGTAGAGTGAATATCAAATGACATTCAGGAGTTAGGAGGAGAGTGCGAGATAATTATACTAGGAGATATGAATGCGCACATAGAAGATATAGATGGGTATACTGACCAGACAGGCAAAATGATCATGGATATGAGTGAAAGACTTGATTTGATCATTTGCAACAGTACCAAGAAGTGTGAAGGGCAAATAACATGGGAGGTAGGAAGGCTGCAGTCGACGATAGATTACGCACTGATGTCACATAGGATGTATGATAGGCTCAGGGGAATGCACATAGATGAAGGTGGCTCCAGAAGTCTGGGTAATGATCACAAACGTATCAAGCTAAGTTTTGGAAGAGCAGTGAAAGTGGGAAAGAGGCAAGATGAGCAACTACAGGAAAATTTTTATTCAGAAAGTCAAATTGAAATAGCCACTAAACAAATTGAGAAAGTAATCACTGAGGATAATAAAACAGTGTGGACATGCACGAATCTAATTAGACTGTTTGAGCTAGAGCTTGCCAAGGCACGTGACAAGTCACCCCGGAAAAGAGGACACAAACCCAAAAGTTGGTGGGATGAGGAGAGCCATAGCAAAATGTCAGGAAGCCTCTAGGGAGCACAGACATGCTAAGCAGTGGGGTGAACCGACAGATGATGTTAAAAGAAAATGGGAAATCATTCTAGGCTGTAGAAGGGTTGCAACCCTTCTGATCAATGAAAAGATTAGAAGAAAGGGAGCTCAGTCGCTGGCAGAAGTACATAAAAAAGATAGAAAGGCAGCTGCGAAATTTTGGAACTACCTAAACTCCCTAAGAAATGAAACGAGCCTAGAGCAGAGGTTTATAACTACAGCTCAAGGTGCTAGGCTAGAAGGGGACGAAGCTATTGAATATATATGAACAAGGGTGACAGAAAATTTCAACAAAGAATTAAGTGCTTTAAGCACCACAATAGACCAGGATGAATCAAGTGGCGCAATGGCTCCATTTTCACAACGAGAGTGGGAAAGGGCTGAGAAAAGGGTTCCTAGTAGTACATCAACAGGCCCAGATGGCATTCCAATTATGCTGATAAAGACATTAGGTCCGAAGTCTAAGCAGGCTTTGAGAGAGGCAGTGAGCAAAATAATAATCGATGGAGAAGTTCTCAATGAATGGAAACTTAGCAGAATGAGCATGATCTATAAAGGAAAGGGGGAAGAAGCTGACATAAACATCTACCGACCTATAACAGTGACATCAGTGGTCTACAGGCTGGCGATGCAGATTATAAAGGAAAGACTGCGGGCATGAATAGAGGATGAGGGGGTGCTGGGGGAACTGCAGAATGGGTTTTGGAAACACAGGAGCTTGAAAGACAATCTGTTCTCACTGACGCAGTGCATCGAAATAGCGGAAAAGGAACTCAGGCCTTTGTGGCTAGCATTTTTGGATATCAAGATAGCGTACTATAGCGTGGTTCTAGAGGACTTGTGGGGAATGCTAGACACACTGGGTGTGGAAGATGGAGTCACTAATCTTTTAAAGGAAATCCATAAAAGTAACAAGGTAGTTATAAAGTGGGAAAAACAGGTATCCAAGCCTGCAGAGGTAAAACGGAGGCTTAGGCAGGGGTGTCCTCTGTCACCCTTATTATTCTTGATGTACCTACAAGGATTAGAGGCCAAATTAGAGGAAAGTGGACTGGGCTTCAACCTCTCTTTCGTCAAACAAGGAAAACTCATTGAACAGGCACTACCAGCATTGATGTATGCAGATGATATAGTGCTAATGGCCGACAACAAGGAAGATTTGCAGAGATTAGTGGTCATCTGTAGTAATGAGGGAGATTGGTCAGATTTTAGATTCAGTAAGGAAAAATCAGTAGTCATGATTTTCAATGATAACGAAGGTAGTGAGCTTAGAATACCGGAGGCCACGCTAGAGATAACAGATAACTACAAATATATGAGCGTATGGATAAGCAATGGGACCGAGTACCTAAGGGAACACGAAATATACGTGACGACTAAAGGTTACAGGAATGCAGCAGTGATAAAAAATAGGGCACTGTGGAATTACAAGAGGTATGATGTGAGAGGAATATGGAAAGGTGTCATGGTTCCTGGTCTGACATTTGGCGATGCGGTCTTGTGCATGAGATCAGAAGTTCAAGCAAGATTAGAAATTAAGCAACGTGGAATAGGTAGGCTTGCCTTTGGAGCTCGCGGGAATACACCAAATCACGGAGTACAACGTGATATGGGATGGACATTATTTGAGGGCAGGGAAGCTATAGCAGCAAGATAAAATTTGAGAAACGATTGAGAGAAATGGGGGGAGGAGCGTTGGACTAGGAAGGTATTCAGCTACTTGTACATGAAGAATGTCGATACAAAATGGAGGATGCGAACCATAAAATTGACTGGTAAATACTTAGAAAACAGTAGGGGGCCAAGCCAAAAAGAATTACCGGTTAAGAAGAAGGTGAAGGAAGCTGGGACCAATATATGAAGAATTGGCATGATTAAGAAGTCCGCACTAGAGATCTATCGAACTTTTAAGCAGGAAATTACCAAGGAAAGGATCTATGATAATACTCGGGGTAGTTCTCTACTGTTTGAGGTCAGGACGGGAGTATTGCGAACCAAGACATGTCGAGCCAAATACGAAGGGGTAGACACGGTATGCAGTGCGTGTGGAGAGGAAAAAAGAAACTGCCGAACACTTGATAATGTTCTGTAAAGGGCTTCACCCTATTGTTCAGGATGATGGCGCAGTGTTTTTCAAAGCACTGGGGTTTAGGGACAGGGAGGGCAAAATAGACTTCAAGCGGGTAGAATTAACTAGAAGGAGGTTATCTGATTGGTGGCTAAAGTCAAGACACGAGTGAAAATTAAACCCTTCACTGCAAAGTACGAATCCTCAACGTCACTATATAAAAGGGAAAAAAAATCTAGTTTCCATTTCATTAAGAATTACGGCTTGGTGGCGCTAGCCACAGTTCAGTTTTAAGGGTACAGCAATATCCATTCATCCATCATCACGGTGACGAGCGGTCGGTACGCCCGTCCTAACGGTCCTAAACGCTTAGGTACGCGGTACCTAAGCGTTTTTCATCTGCAGCCCACAGGAGCGCGTCTGTCGAGAGTTGTTCGAGACCTGTAGCTGTACACTACTGTTTCGGAGGCTATGCAAAGTGTTGCGTTGCTGCACCGTCCGCCACAAGCGACGCTAGTGACCGAGAACATTCTAAAATGAAGAAGGAAAAGGGTGTGGCAGCTGTTTTTCGTCTCATGCGGCAGGCATCTTTCTAGAGGAGGCGTTGGTTGCTTGTTAGGCGCGAACTAGCTGGTGCTGGCATAGAGAAATAAAGAAAAGGTTAAGAATGGACACTCCCGTAGACCCCAGCGGCCCAATCGACCCTAGCACACCTGGTGGTTGGTGAGAGCAAGTGGCGTGCGCTTCCTGTTTCGGTTTCACTGGCGCAAATTTTGAATTACTTTGCGTAACCGACGTTTGGCTATGACGAAAGTTCATAATTTTAGACCACTTTTCATCGCCCAAATGAATAGTTTTTGTAGGTCGTTTTGATCTAGCAATTCCCTGTTTTGTTTTGTTCAGTGGTTCGTGCGAATTGGTCGTGACGTAATTTTTATTTCGATTGAGTTACAATAAAAAGAGGTGCAGGTAATGATAATTCACTACGGTTTTATTCATCGCGCTTGTGTTTTTCTTTTGGAACAAGTGATCAATGTATATATCAGTCAAAGAGACAGAGTATTCGCAATGTTTTATTCAAAGGCAAGGTAGAGTCTGAGAATATAAAAGGCACAATATGACAAAGGTAGACAACAAATGCATCTCGCCTTACAAATAAATTGTAACAAATATTGTAACAAACACAGAGAGAACACAGACAACACACACATCGCTAGAGTTGGCAGAAGCCGAGAAGCTGGTGAAGTATGACACACCGGGCCAGTGGGTAAGTAAGGATCTATGGCAAAAACACAGCGCACAATGCTGATGAAGAAGGAAGAAGTGACATATACACAGCAATGAAGTCGTGAATCACGCCTGGGGTTAACCGAAATAATGCATAGAAAAAAAGAGCACACATAAACCACACGACACAATATAGCAGGAAGGCAAAGGTGCGGTGTGCTGGCTGTGCTTAAGAACAGCTAGCCCAAAATGAAAAAAAGCAGACTTGATGCCTACTTGTCCTCAGAAAGGTAGGGCTTTGCAGCTTGCTCACTACGTGAAAGACAAACTTTATGCTAAAACACTGGCAGGTCTTGTGGCTCTTCTTATGCGTCGCTTTCATCAAAAACTTAAGATCCCAAGTGATTTGCGTCTGGGTGCTGCTGTGACGATTGCGAGTTAAAATAGATTGTAGTCATCACTTATCCAGAATTGTGGACCTTAATTGGTGCTATGAAAGCGGTATTACAGGGCTAATAAATAGCAGAAGGAAACCACTTTGGCTCATTATTTTTCACAAAGGCTCTACATCGTACGTTATCACTCACAAGCTATACAAAAATAAAATGGCAGCGTCCGCAGCCCCATCAAACGCTACAAGTTTGGGTATTCTTTTGAAAATTTTGATGGGCGAGATGAGGAGGTTGATGAGAAGCTGAATTGCGGTCGGATAACTCCAAGGGCCTTTGAAGTCGATGACGGTGCTTGGTCAGGCTGTCTCCGCAGTCTTTTGACAGTTTTCACTGTGCTGCTACTTTGGCTTGCAGATGTTTAATGGTTTGCTTGTACTTTATTGATGGAGACATTGTCGCTGGCACACAGGAACGTACTGCAATAAACAAAAATATGGATGTAAAAGCGAAGAACAACTAATCCCATACGACTATTTCCTCGCTCTTTCAGACCCAATGTGCACAACTTTCTGTGGTGCAATGTTTTCGATTCCACTACCTAAAAACAAACCATTCACAATGTTGACAATGCACAAAAAAAAAAAAATGAAAATCACTGAGAGCCCTCCCTTACATTTTGTAGGTGCACACGTAGTGTCCTTTTGAGGATAGTTTCCTCAGAATGTCCTAAACATAAAATAGCACATTAAAAACAGCTGGAATAAAAGCATAGTTACCATTTTCTCTAGGGCACTCGGGCGTGGAGCTGTTGATGGAGACGTCTTCTGGAGGGTCTTGTGAAGCTTGTTCAGTGCCTCGGATAGTGCTGTCGGAACAATCTTGCGAGCGGCCTGCGGAAGTCTCTATATCAATCCACTCTGGTGTTGAAGTGAACATACAACTTACCGGTCACACAAGTTCCTTTTGTGACAGCTGAACGACTGGTCAAGGTTTTCCCCGGCAAGACGAAGTCAGCAGAAATTCTTTCACCAGCTACAAGGGAGCTGCCACCTGTAGAGGTTTGGTCAACAGTCAATTTGGGTAAAAAAAAAAGAAATCGCGACACTGAACGCACCCTGCTCATCGGGGCACCTCAATGTGTGGGAGCCGCTTTTTGAAGCCTCTACCGCAGGTCCTGAAGAAATGAAATTACGACAATGTGTCTGTAAGAGGCTTAAAATAACACAAACTGAAGCTCATCCACACCTTGCAGTGCAGATTCTGCAGTCATGTCACAGTCACTATTTGAAGCGACGCTCAGAGAACCTGCATATATGTGCAGTTGGTACAAGTTACAAAGCTTGTAGCATGGAGAAACTTAAACAGCTCTTTCAAACGCATAAATTGGTCGAACGTAGAAGAAAAGAGAAGGCACCAACTAGAAAACAAGTAATTTGTGATTTTTGGAATTATCAACAGTGCCAGCTTTCACTGATGAAAGGTATATGTACATGTGCACTCAGGCTTGAAGATAACGTGAAATAGCCCTTTAAAGTCTTTCAAAACAAGTTGTGCAGGTCAAGAGCATCAAAAAACGACAGAAATGTAAAGCTGCTGTTAGGAAGGTAATAGCCCACAATTCACAAAATTTAAGACTTTCCAAGTGTTACTTCTATAGTGAGGTTTCTCCATCGGCTACAAAGATCTTCGCGGTTAACTGTCGCCACTGATTCAATACAAGTGGCTGCTATTGCACATATTTGAGTTTCAGTCAATCACTTACACGGTGCAGCTGGTTGCACAGTGGGAACAGCCATTCTTGTAAGCCTTGTGTGCCCAGGGTCCATGAAACTTTGAGCAGTAAAATGGTCGCTACAAACCCTGTACGTTGCGTACAATAGGCTGGCCGGCTTACTCAGGAGATCATCGCGTCCAGCATACTGCATCCATGCTTTCATCCTGCATTGGCAATGAACTATCAACTGAAAGGGGAAGTGCTTGAATAGTGATTTTTTTATTGTTACCCTCACTGAGCAAGTACGAACAGTAAGCCTAAAGACATGCAAACCATACAAAAGCTTTAACACACCTGCCGTCCCGTGGTATGCGGAAGAAACTCGTCCCAGGCTTCTTGTGGGTTCTGCCATGGTTGAAGCACCACGATACACAGCAGTAGCTGCTGTAGCTTGGACCGCCGGACGGCATGGCATCAGCGCGGTCTGAAAATGTTAGTAAGTGGATGCTTCGCTGTCAAATTACGAAAAAGATATGTGCACGTCTTAAGTGTACCAGCAAACCCCTTTGAATGATTAGCTAATCGATGCACAATACAAAACCAGTGATAGATCTCTGACCCATAAAACTCTGACTTACAAAGATATATGCCAAGACCACGTACAAAGATCTTCAGAAGTTTCCAGGCCGCTATTCCTTGTAATGCAATGGTATCGCGGCCTGGGAACTCTAGAACACCTTCGTGCGTACGCAGTATCAGCAGTACATTGGAAAGAAAAATCGTAGTTGAAATTTGTGCGGTAAAATTATATTGGAAACGCCAAAAAAATTTGTGGGCAGCTTGCACTAGTGGCACAAGGCTAGCGAAGAAACGAAGATGATGGCCACTTGACTAGTCCAGATTTGCCTGCGGCACACCAAGAATTATTCGTGTTCCGAGTCTTCGGGAAACGCGTCGTGAAGCATGCGAGGCCCAGCGAACGCTTCTCAATATTTTGCACAGAGCCTATGACCTAGCTGCGCAGCTATGTTCAGCGCACAGACGCTCGCGTCCGTGGCAGACGCAGCACGCGTCGCCTCGGCTTGACGCCGTGCCGCCTTTGCTATACTGCATACGTTGCACAATGTTCCCGTCTAGCCACCGCATAGAGCCGCAAACTTTTTTTTAGCGAACCTCCCCGTCCTTACAAGCTTCAGAAAAAGGTTACAACTGCGTGAATGAGACGCCACGTAAGAAACAAACTCGCACACACGAGGCGCAACGTGTGTGTGTGCATCTTTCTATGTTTGTTGCATGGTGTTTTATTCGCGCAGGTGTAACCGTTTTGTGAAAAAATGACCCAACAAGCCCAACAACATGTCATTCAACAAGCTTCGCTTGAAAACGTGCCTCACCTACGCACGAAAACGCCGACGTTGACAAAATCTTCCCGCTGTCAGTCATGCATGGGCTTGTCGCTGGGTGGATGGTGTTTATGACAGTACGGCTGAAGAAAAATAATCGCGTAAGGTGTGTTGAATAAACTCTTTTTATGTATGAAAAACATACCAAATTTGGGCGTATAATTATTATTTTGTAAAAACAATTTTTTTGCATTGATTATAAATGTTTTTTTTTTTGCGCTTGCGTTCTCTGACGTTTGGTGAGAGCACTAGTTCGTTACGTAGGCGTGACGCACTTCCTAAGGCCAGGTTTCGCGGAGTGTCCTCTCTTATCTTTTTCTTTCTTTATGGTGCTGGTTCGAGTATTTGAACGTTCGGTAACGGGCGGCCGCCTTGAGCGCCTTGAGTCCTGCCCGTGACGTCCTTATTTGTTTAAACCTTAGAATATAGATTTCGTAGCGTTCGCCCAAGGTAGGTGCATTGCCGGCCCTTACGTATCAGGTTAGTATTACTAATCTTTTGTCGCGATTCTTACGCGTCGGTGATGCGACACCAAACAGCCTTGCCGTTACTACATAGCTCTCGCAGTGCTAATCATGTGTTGGATGAATTATTAATCTGTGTGGCTGGGGTTACGTCGAGACGTAAGTGCAACCAGTGCTAGTATTGGTGCCAGATGTAAAGGCTAGCGCTACGTCTAGACGCCGCCAGCACTGTGGACGTATTCTGCCAAATTTCTTGCATTGATTCTTACGCGTCGGTGATGCTATACCAAACTGAGCCTTGCCGTTACTACTTCGCTCTCGCAGTGCTAATCAATTGTTGGATGAATGATTAATCTGTGTGTTTGGGGTTACGTCCAGACGTAAGTGCAACCAGTGCTAGTATTACTGCCAGACGTAAAGGATAGCGCTACGTCTAGACGCCGCCAGCACTGTGGACGTGTTCTGCCAAAATTCTTCCATTGCAGCTGTCCGTGTTGTATTACAGGATGTGACAGAATTAAGTGAGGGTGTGAAGCATGGAAACTTGGGCAAATTGGTAAGCCATAATTGAATGTAAGAACGGCGCAACAAGGACTGACGAATGTAACACACACAGCGCTGCATGTGTTAGCTGTCTTTGTATGTTGCGTTGTGAATTACGTGAGGTTTGCGTGCTCGTATCGAATGATCTTTAGGGTTACGGTCCATAGGACAGCTGGCCCGCGTGTCTACTGATATATGCGGTCTTTAGACGCTCTCATTCTGTTCAGTCATGCTGGCACGGCATACTTACAGTGCTGCAATAAAACTTCGTGCCTGCTCTGTGTTTTCTTCTTATCCTTTCTGAGTACTTTGGTTTTCTACTTTTGCGCTAAAAATATGTTGTGGGTCATACAGTACATTGTGCTTGGGGCTGCTATAGCCGCAGTTCGGATCGCGAAGCATCAAAAGTAGTTTTGACACTGCAAAAAATGGCGAAGTAAGAAAACGCACCGCAAGGAAACGTATTGAACGTAACTTCAAATGCAGTTTTATCGTAACATACAGACATAACTAGAGCTGGAACCACCTTCGATCTTCGGCTGTGGTCTAGTGGATTCCGTTATTTTTTGAAACGGTCACATCTTCCGATGTGGCTTTTCTTGGCATCCGGAAGGCGTTCTGGAAGACGGCCGAAATAGTTACTTGTCTTTCAGAGTGCACTGAAAAACGTAAACAAACGCTTTGTTGTATTTATTGCCAGCGGCTGTCACGCATGCTTCAGTGGTGGGACAGCTGGCGCTGTTAGACATAACATTAATGGCGGGTTGGGTACGTGCCACACCATGGTATGTGCACTCGTGAGAAACTATGGTGGAGAGCACCCTCAGATGAGCGCATGGAGGAAGGAAAAACTATTTTCCCTTCCTCCATGGATGAGCGTGGGTGTCACACAGTGATGTCAGCCTAAGACAGAGTTTCATCCCAAGATTGGCCTTCAAAACTTTCGTAGATGAGCACAGAAATTTTTTATTAACTTTCTAATATCATTATTCAAAGTGATTCATAAGCTAAAAAGTATTTTCTTTCTGGTCCACTTCTTAAACTAATCAAAAGAAAAAAAAATCGGAATACTGGCAGTCAATGAAGGTCTTCTCTATACATTTTCTGCAGAGCTATTGCACATAAAGGGCTTGCAGTTGGTACCAGTTGCTCCAGAGACTGACCTGTAAAGTTCACTTAGCGTAACCAACGTAATTGTACGTGTCGACTGCAAGTCTGTGATACCTTTTTTGTGCTTCAAGCTTGCGAGGTGGTGGTCAATTGGTCGTTTTTCACATTTGCATTTAGCGTTGCATGATTTTGTTTGTCGTATGGTTGCAGCTAAATTTAAACTTATGCATGAAGGAAAGAAACACGAGGACGGTGCTGACTTTTCTTCGTGCGTACGTTTAAAATTAGCTGCAATCATTCGACATGCAAGATTACCAACTACCCTGATGCAAATCATTGTAATGTATGATTGGTGGTAGAGATATAGGAAATCATTTTTACTGGCTGATGGCCATCCTGTGTGTTTTTGATCAGTTTCCCATTAGGCCGAATATATTTGTCACCGTTTTCACTCTTCCCCGCCGTGGTGGTCTAGTGGCTAAGGTACTCGGCTGCTGACCCGCAGGGCGCGGGTTCAAATCCCGGCTATGGCGGCTGCATTTCCGATGGAGGCAGAAATGTTGTAGGCCCGTGTGCTCAGATTTGGGTGCACGTTAAAGAACCCCAGGTGGTCTAAATTTCCGGAGCCCTCCACTACGGCGTCTCTCATAATCATATGGTGGTTTTGGGACGTTAAACCCCACAAATCAATCAATCAACCGTTTTCACTCTTGTGAAAATGGTGCGAAAAGAAGACAAAGTGCACAATCCTTTAAAGGGGCCCTGCCACACTTTTTCTTGCAGCCATAGAAGGGATTCACTAAAGGCTCTCATTGCCTCGCGAAATCACCGCTGCAAAAATTTTCAGAATCCATCCAGTATGGGCGGAGTTACATGCTGGAATTGCATTCTCTTTTCTCAAGTCGCAACGAAAGCACTGGAAGCTAAATGAAAAGGGATGGCACGAGGGAAGAAAATACATTACGTGCTCTTGAAGACCTTGAGCACTTTCTTCTTTTTTTTTTTAATCGAATGCACGGCTTTTTAGCGCGATCGTGTGCACACGCTGATAAGTCACGGCTTCCAGCAGTAGCCCCAGTAATGACCGAGCGCACCATACCCAAATCAACCAATGGCTGGTACTTGGCCTGGGACCGTGGGACATAATTATTCTTGAGCCTGTAGTATTATTTGTTGAGGGAAGAGAAAATGATTTTCAGCTCACTTTGAGAATTTGTGAATTTCAGGCCTTGTGCTGCGCTATGATAGTTGGAATGCGTTCTCAGCAGCTTGGCTACCAATTGGCAGCGTTTTCTGTTCATGCTCAAGAAGTGTGGCAAGGTGCTTACAAGTCTTTTACTGTTGCATTGTTTTAATAAAGCCATACCAGTCATCTTACTCTCAGTCCCTTCGCTATCTTTTTATTGGTCCCCTGGTATAGAAATTATTTCACACAAATCAACTTAGCACGGTGATTGGCAAATGGGAACGGGGCACATTTAACTCTGCTCTACAAGGAAAGGTTTTCCTTTGTTTCTCTAAGCAGCAATCACTCGGTGTGCTTGTGATGATTTGCACATGCGCACTAAACACGGTGACACATTTCTTCACAGTATTCTGCTTATCATACTCTCTCATTGCCAAATCATCACCTTTGCTTGACCCAGCGAAGATGAAAAACACCACATAAAGAAAATTTTCTGTAGCCTTTTGTTAGCCTGCTATGACTTTACAGCTTTTTTTTGTTGGTGGTGTTGTTTGTTTATTGATTCTGCATCACTAGAGCCGATCAAGAGTCTTAACAGGCTAGATTTGTATTCTTATGCCAAATGTAGATGCAACAGCTCTTATGTCCAGACAACTCTTGTGCAAGTTGTACGTTGAGCCATAAGGGTGATCAGCTGCTACAGTTACCTCCTTCGTGTGGTTCATAATGCGAATTTGAGTGTAATCTGCACTTTGTTAGTCTGAGTGGTTGGCTTGTGTCACTGGAATGCTGCCATTTTGCGGTGCACCTTCGTCGCCCCCATTATTTCGCTCGAGTGACGCGCATCACTGCCGCAAAAGTCTGGAGCATACGCTTCTGCCACCAGTGTGATTTGCTATATATATATTAAACTGCTCTCATTGCAATAATCTTATAGTTTTAAAGTATTGCTTCAAAAAGATGATGAAAAGAAATCTATAAAAAAAGTGCATGATCTGTGGGAATTGAACCAAATAACCTCATATGTCCCTCGAACAACAGGTTAGCCCGTTTTGTCTAAAAAGCTTTATTTGTATTGTTATCAAGCCGAACATAACTTTGACTCCTTGTTCTTGTCTCCAGACGTAACTGCAATGGCTCTTACTGTTACATCTATACGTAACGCTAGACACTGCGTTATAATAGTGCAATATTTACGATTAAAACTTTGTTGCGTTACATGATTACACTGTGCTGTGCTCCTTTTCTTCCATGAACCAGTGCAGGAGCAATGCCATAAATTTTCTGCAAATTTTAAATTTGCAGAAAGTTGAATCCTATAAAATTGGTAATTTTTTTTCTCTTGACTTCATGTTACTCACGCCAGTGCTGGCTATTTTGTCCTCTGCCATTTTTGCCGGTGTGATCCATTTGTTGCACAGCTCTATGTTCAAGGTGCTGTAATAGTAGTACTTTTTCCTCTTGTAGTGATGTTGACTGTCATCGCTTAAGTTTACTAATGTCCCATTCAACACTGTTATTGAGACTACTCTGCATTTTTTTTAATAACCTTGCATCAGCTAGAAAGTGAGTGAGCGTTTTTGTTTTTGCAGACTGCCATGGCGCCTGGACCATCCAAACTTTCCTTGGTTGCACAATTCGATGATTTTTGCCGAAAGGGAGTCGCAACCACTGATACCACAACGGAAGGTTTGGCTTATTTTCTTGAAGTTAATCCCCTTAAAAGCTAGTTTTGCGAGAACTACGCCAGTGGCATTTCTTTCTTGAGGGTATATTCATCCAGCATTTCACCTTACTGACACCACTCTGAATTGCTGCCACCATTCCTGAATGGTTTTCTCTCTCTGCTTGGGTGTGTGTCTGAGCGCATGCATGTGTGTACTAAGCTTAAACACAGTATCATTATTTAACATGAAGTGCTGTTGATGCGTGTCAGTAGCGTACGTTTACCCTCACAAAAGTGGGTGGCAGGCACTAACGCGACCACTGGTGACACGAACTCACTTCTTTTAAGGTTTATTAGGAGGAGGTCAAAGTTAATATTAAAACATAGCCAATGGGAACAAGCTGACTACAGAGAATCTCTCGCAAATTCCAGCCAAACATCTATGCACTCAGTTTATTGGCTTCAATTTTCAGTCCTTTGATTCATAAATAGGGCATTTTTTGTTTTGTTTTTTAAAATCTATATTGTATTTGCTCATCAATATATTTTGTTGTATTGTGGCTTATGAGAGCTGTTGCAAACAATAGTAGTTTTATTTCGGCAACCTAAAGGGGCCTTGCAACACGTCTTGAGCATGGTCAGAAAATGCTGCCTATCGGTTGCAGAGGTTGCCGACAACACGCGAGCCAAATATTATAGCACGGCACGCGGCCTGGAATTCACAATAAAATGAAATTGAGCTATAAATTGCTTTCTCTTCTCTCGTCTAATCACTGAATATGCCCAAAAATCGCACGTAGCAAGCCCATCTATCAGCCGTTGGCTGATTTGAACATGGCGTGCTCGCTCGTTGTAGAGATCGTCGCCGGAGGCCGCTACTTGTCCTCGCGTGCACGCGCGATCGCACTGAAAAAAATCCACGCATTCAAAAAAATAAGTGCTCAAGGTCACGAGGCGGGCGTGACGTTTTTCTGTGGCCCTGCCATCCCTTCATGCTTAGCTTCCAGTGCTTTCATCGGGACGAGAGAAGAGAGAATGCAATTGCAGCATGTGACAAACCTTTGTAACTCACTCGCACTGAGCAGATTCTTAAAATTTTTGCGGTGTTGAATTAATGAGGCAATAAGCTGTTCTATTGAATCCATTTAATTCATTCCATGGTTATTTGAAAGTGTTTCAGGGCCCCTTTAAACATCATTGTATTTTAGTTTGATCATTACTTGTTGCATTGCATGGTTCTCCTGTGTGCTTGAGTATGGGTTTTGATTTAATGCTCTGGTGCTATTAGTGAATGGCTCACTGTGCAGAAATGAAGTAGGGCTCGGTCAAAGAGGCCTACTTTTAAGCTTTTTTGCCAGTGCACGGGGATGATGTTAATAGTAACTAGTAACTGCATGGGGCTATAGACATGCTTTTTTTTTGTCAATAGAATGGCCTTTTTGCCACTTATTGTAAAAGCCCCCCCCCCCCCCCCCCCCCCCCCCCCTTTTTTTTTTTTTTTCAGAGCGTTTCTTGGAGTTCGTAAGGAACCAAGAAGAGTGTCGTAAGCGCTGGCATTCTGCTGCTGCAGAGAACGCAGAGTTGAAGAAAATTGTTGCATCCCAGAATGCAACAATCGTTGAGCTTGAAAGAAAGCTTATGAATACCAAGTAAACTTTACTTCACTGTGTTCCCTACTTGATATGACAAAGGTCGAACTGTGCATTGAGCATGCACTGTAATTTAGCTATTTATATTCAAATTGTTAGTTATAGGGCTTGCTTATTCCTACTTTGCTATAAGCTATTGTTTTATGTGCTGCAATTGACAATCTGAGCTGTTATTCAACAGGGTTGAAAACTGGTGGAGTTGTTGATTAATCATCATAGTGTATAGGCAAAGTTTGCACTTCATGAGTAGCAAATGTCGAGGTTCTTGTGCTTTTGTTTTTGTGAAGTGCGCTACTTCACCTGTGTAGTAGATGTTAACGGGATTTTGCATGCTGGAAGTCCCACATCATCTGCTGTGCACATAAAACATGTTTGCATTAAGTGCTCACGTGTTTCCATAGTGTGGGTTCATTGGTTATACTTGCAGACATTTCTTGGCAATACAGCGAAAGCTAGAGAGCCAAATCGTGCATATCCTACCTTTAATGAATGTAGTAGCACAATTGTACCCTTATTTCCTGCGTGAGATATGAAAAATACTGCCTTCATTTTTTGCATGTAGCTCTCTAAAACAGGACACAGCTCACACCAGTAAGATTTACGTATTTGTTTTAATTTATACATTGTCACTTTGCGTTTTTGCATGCGTGAGAAAGTCGCTCCCTTTACGTGTACCTCAAATGCCAAGCGGCGTTTGCATAAATATAAAACACTGATTGCATGCAGCCACCACTTTTCACAGTGGTGCGCAACGCATACCATACCGGGCTACTTAGCGTTGTAGTTCACGGGGAGAAGCTTTGCTCCTCTAGCTTGTCAAGAAATGTTGTCTGCGAGTAAAGTGTCCTGTTGCTGAGCATCATGTTAGGTTTATTCACGGCTTTTTGTGTTTATATGCTCACTTACTTGAACTTCACTGTACATTAAAAAATGCTATGCACTTAGAATTAGTTTGCTTTCTAATACCGTATCCCGCTGCCATTCTTATGCACCAATATCCACATATTTATCATTCAAGAATCTTTGAAACGATTTTTTTTTTGCTAAGACCATTACTGGAGCAAATCGTTAGCACCGTGATTCAGTCACCACACCTTTTATGGCGAGAGCTACGAATAATAAATAGGTACCCTTCTCCTCCCCTCAGTCTTTCACCCTCAACGTTTTCTTCGAGTACTTGGGGCTAAGCTCAGCCTTCAAAAGGCTGTGCGTCACGACATGACGCAAGAGAATGCTTACATGATGTCAAGTCACTCAATGCCAGTGTCTGGTCATTCAGTGCCAGACCCACCAGTGCAGTAGCCACTGGTGGGTCACGTGCTGGGCTGCTGGCTCGACTGATCGCAGTTAGCATCCTCTAACCGCAAAACCGCTGACATCTAGGAACATTGTCATTGTGGCCATCACATTACCTTAAAGATGTGCCTAAATTAGCATTAAACAATACTCATGATACTCATCTTATCAATCCTAAAAAAACATTTGCACAATTAAGAACGTTCAGATATTGCGTTGTGTTTACTTTGAATACTTTTGTGAAAGCTAGATCGGATATTTATGCAATTTAGTGTGCAGGAAAAAAAAGCATTTCCAAGTTTGTTTACTAGATGGGAGTTGCCACCATATTGCACCCGAGGATGCATCGACACGCTGACAACGTTCACTGTGTTTAGAAAGTCCTGAAGTCTAGTTATAAATTGCGACTGTATTCACTTTATTTATTTTAACCAAACCAAATTATAAGGAGTTTTAAAGATTACCAACGTTTGTTCGCAGTTGTATAAAAAAAATAGTCTGTGATGCACATTGCACATCAAATCAGATCAGCCGCCTGTGTGATATCGTACTTGTAAATGTTGTGTACTGAAAGTGGGTAGTTGAAAACCTGTTTGGCTGAGCTGCTGTAATATGTAGTAATTTGTAGCTTTGAAGCATTACAATTGTTATAGTGCGAGAGAAAAACGACGATGAAGGGACAAGAGAAGACAAGCGCAATCATTGTAATAAATCGCCCAATTTATGCAGAAAGTTTAAATCTGTCTCTAAATGATCCTTAGGACTTGCTCTACGGGCCCAATGTGGTTGTACGCAATCGTCGAAAGCGTTTCAGAGTCCCAGGGTTCGTAGCGGTCCCTGAAAACCCTTGAATTTTGAAATGGAATTTTAAAGGCCTTGAAAACCCTTTAATTCGTTTTAGGTCTCTAAAAGTCCTTGAGTTTCATCAATCGAAGTTCCTTTAGCTATAGTTTAGTGGATTTTTTTTTTTTGCATGCCTGGCAACCATGTTTTATCAAGCGAACAAACCATCCAATCCAATCCGTTTCTCTAGCCATAGTGCAGTGTTGTAGTACAGTGTACTGTTCTAGTACACTGTAGTTGTGGTAGCGCTTGCCTGCTTACAGCAGCAACGGAGCTAAGTCTGGCTTTTTTGTGAAGACTGTGCAAGTGTGCGCGGATATCTGCAGTCGCGCCGTTTGTGGTAGAATTATGCCGCACAAGTGCACATTCCAGCTATCTTGGTCTTGCATTAGTGCTTATAGGGAGCAGATTGCACCAGATACATTAAACTCTCATCAGGCAAAGTCTTCCCATGTAGGAGGAACTGCGACGTGTCATCGCTAGGGGAGTCTCCTCTTAGAAGTCGCATGAGGAGTACGGAACACATTGAAAACACAAAAGCGACTACAGTTCTTGGTAACTTGAGTGCGTCATGGTGGCAACCATACAAATAAAATAAAGTACAAATTTTTATGCTTTAAAAAGTGGTGTCATTTTTTGCAGTTCCAAGTGTTATTTTAGATCCTTGAAAAGTATATGTTAGGTTTTTTAAAGTCCTTGAAAACACTCGAATTTTGTTTCACTTAAGCGCTATGAACTGTACAACATACTGGACATAAAATGCATCCTTCTGTCGAAATGTTTGCTTACCACCCATAGGCACAATATGAACTTAAGTGCAACTTTAATTGAAATTGCCACCTAAGTCGCTAATCTATGGAGCAGTATACAAACCATCTGAAATTGTGATGGTGTGCTTAGTGAAGAAAGTGCATTTCACTGCAAGTTACAGGAGAGTTAATCCAAATAAAAGATGTTGACATTGCAGTGGTGTTTCCATTTGGACGAGTTCATTGGGAAAGTAATGATCTTATCAGAGGAACAGTGCTTGAAAGAGTAGTAGGTAGGATTTTCAAGTTGGGATGTTGCTGCCATCTTGTTTTCATTGCTAGGAAGAGAATTCAGTAGAAGCCTTTATCACTTGTGCAGAGGAAAATAATGTCACTCAGTACCTCCATCAATGGGGCTAGCGCAATTCGTAAAGGCTTATACAAAGGTATTTACGTTAAGGGCTCAATGTTAGGTGTTCAAGGTACAGCACTTACAGTTTCAGCTGCTGGCTTCCTGCATCTCCTTTTGCATGCAGTCTTTTTTTAATTCTTTGTAATAATATGGATAAACTATGTTATAAGACAGGCACATTATTGTTTTGGACTAGACAGCAATTGATACTGCTTAAAATATGCAGCACTCTTTAGAGTGCGAGAAATGTACAGAAATGTTGTCATTCCGTGCATGAACAAAACCTTGCACTAAAGGTATACAATATGAAAAGCAGAGCGCTACTCTGTGCCTTGTTTCAATATCACAATACCGAAATACGAAAATGCTTTTCGGATGACGCTGCTGTGGTTTAACAAATGTAAATTTAACCGTTTTTCCCACTCTGTAGGTTTCACATTAAAGCAGCAGTGTCATTGCATGAAGGAAAGTGTACATTTAAGGGCTTTTCTTTGTTAGACACTCTATTAATAAGATCTAACAGAAAATTGTGCCAAGGAAAGTATAGAGGATGTTATTAGAGGTAGTTGTAATGTAAATGTGAACAAAGAAAAGTGGGCTAGAAGATAACTTGCAATGGGCAGGGATCCAACCTGCAATCTTCGAATAACGCGTCCAGTGAACTCCCAACTGAGCTACCACACCAGCTATTCCCCCGTCCACTTTATGGGGTATATATGTGCATTAAACATGGGAGTGTCAGTCAGCTTCTTAAGTAGCCACGGAGGCGAGTGTGGAACACACTGTAGCAAGAGGCAGAGAGACATGTGGGATCTTGTTACTTTATTCTAGAAGTTCATAGCGGAGCAGCAACGGCTGCCTGCTTCCTATTCACCAGGACTCATTCCGTCTAGCACGTGCCTCGAGCTCCGAGCACGAGAGGTGCAGCGCTGTTACTAAGAAGTAATTTGTCACTTTCTCCTACTCTATCTTCATTGCACTTAACTCCACTCCATTCCCGTGGCCCAATAGTCGTTAAAATTCTTGCTAAGCATTGTTTCCTCCACAGTTGAACTGCCAGATAACAAGGAATTTATAAACTTCGCCCCACAGTCAACGACGAGTAGCTATCGCAACCAAAGTTTGAGGCCTTACTACGCTCGACTAACATGTTCAAGTTCAGTTTTTTTCCCCTGTTCTATCGAAGACTGGAATTCATCATCTGGTTCTGTTCGTTCATGCCCTTCGCAGGGTTTTGTAGCCGAAATCTATAACATATATATGTGAAATGCACTGATCTGTTAGCACATAGTATTTGTTCTTTTTTTCTGTGTCCTAATATTTTTTCATTAATGTTCACACGACGTTATTATGTTACCTGTTCGCATTGTTCTCATTGTTTTAGTTATATTTCTGTGTATCCTTGTATACCCACTCCTGCCATGACGACTCGGGTAACACCGGCGCACGTGGTGATCAACCAGCCTCACCAGCCGCCGGTATTCCATGGCGACTTGTACGAAGACGTCAATGATTGGCTGGACCTCTTTGAACGAGTGGGAAGTTTGAATGGTTGGGATGAGAGAGAGAAGCTTCGCCGTATATACTTTGCTTTGGAGGACTCTGCAAAGACGTGGTTTGAAAACCATGAGACCACTTTGCGTACCTGGGATGAATTTCGTCGACAAGCGCTGGCTATTTATGACTGCACCGATCGCAAT